CCAGCTCTGAAAGTCACAGCCAGCTTTTGGCAAAGAACTACAGCAGCTGCACATCTGCAGAGGGGAAAAGCTTTCAGCAAAAAATACAGAGAGGGATCTCATCCTCCCCCTGCCTGCAAAGCAAGCTCAGCATTTGTTCCTCTCCAGATGACACCCTGATGGGTTGATTTAATCATTCACATATGCATGCCTATTCACAATGCTTCCAAAATACCAGGGCTGTGACAGCATCTCACCTGAACTGCTCACAGTAACACGGCTTGTCAGCAAGTGTTTGGCAAGAAGTCTCGAAGGATAAGAAGAGAAAAATCAATGTTCAAGGACACTGCTAATATAAAATGATTCTACAGAATACAAGTGGGTGAGTGAGAGACCACTTGTGATGAGGAAAACACCTAAGCAGGTGCTTAATTTTAAGCCTATGCTCAAACCCCACTATCTTCCATTAGACTGCATGAAATCCAGTCCAATATTCCCAGAGCAGGAAAGGTGTACTGCACTGAGAGCCAAAGTGCTCTGATGGGTGGATCTAAGCATGCACCATGACCCACGTCTGCTTAAATGATATGTCAGACTGGGGGGCACAGCACAAAACATTTAAGTATGGCAGGATCACGGAAACACTTCACCACTTTTATTCCCAAAGGGAAATCTACTTAAAACACAGAGCATCTAGCCATTTGAAATTATTCTGGTTACAAAGAGCAGCAAGTCATCCCCCCCAAAACAGTCTCTCTAGTGGATTGCCAGAGTACCTTGTAAGTTTCTGGAAACACAACTTATGTGCCTGAACTTGGTCAGGAGCCATCTGCTCTCCAGGATCTGCAGGATCAGGAGTCCCAGGGCCTGGCAGGGTCTCAGCCAGAACTCTTTCATCCACTTCCAAGTGAGGTGGCACCTCTCCCCACTCGAGCTGCCCCTAACCATCATAAGCTCTTGACTTTTTAAGCATCCAGGCCAGATTTTCAGATGACCTCAGAGCAAAGCTTTTCTGACTGTTTCTCCAAGACCAGATTTTCTGCCAGGTAGTCCCCTGCAGATATCTAACCAAGGCAAGACCCTTCCAAGCAAGGTTGGCACCCCATATGCTGAAATGTTCAGCCAATCTGATTACTTACCATGATGCCTAATGAGGAGATGGGCATAGGAAAATAAGAGCTGCCAGCATGTCCTTGCAGAACCTATCTTTACACTAGACTTCATTCAGATCAGTAGCTCTCTGCCGTACATATGCTAGAGGGAATGAGAGCAGTGGAACAAACCTCCTCCAACAGCTCACACAGCGGGCATCTGCCTTATTAGTGGCACAGCACCAGTAGCAAGTCACAAAGCCCACTTCAGACATCACAGATAGAGCTGAACAACAGCTGTCTTACCTGTCTAGCTTCCTTCCTTTTGCTTTTTACTCTAATCTTCCATCACGCATCTCAAAATCGTCTGTGTCCCATACCCACACTCCTAGATGAGATCTTGTCAGCACTGCACATGGAACCAACTGCATGAAGAACCCAGGGGATGGCCAGGCCCATCTGTTAGAGGCTTTTCTCTGTGTGGGTTGGTGTTTTTATTTTAACTCCCTTTGCTTCTGGGCCCCTCTTCATCTCTTGCTCCTCCCATCTCCCTCTCTCTGCTCATGAGGACACAGTTTCCATCCTGGCTCTGGGCCAGCACAAGTACGGGCAAAGGCAGAGCTCAGGAAAAGCCATCTTCTGCTCTCTTTCATCACATAAACACTGCCAGTTCCCAGCCCAGGAGCACAGGGCTGGGCCAGAGCTTTGGCTGCAGTGCAGGGGGACCAATGACCAGGGACTCCTGCCAGGGCTGAACACGGCAGCCTGGCCACAGTGCAAACCTCCTCTCCTGGCCTTCCTGCTGCTGATGACCAACTTGAGGCTTACTGCAACCCAGGAGTTGCTCGTTGGATGGCAGACACAGTTCTGTCTCACACTCAGCAAAGGTCACGTGTAACAGCACATAGAGGGAATAGGGAACATTCAAGCCAAATGCTTGTTCACACCAGTGATTAAAAAAGGAGAACCAGAAGACCCCAAGCAAACCTGGCTGTCAGTGTCCCAACACCGGGATGACAATCTTGCCCAGAAGGCCTCAGAGATGAACTACATCCTAATAAGTTTAATCAGTAAAAACTGACCTTTAATGACCACAAACTATTGCATCTGGTCTGCTAAATCCTCAGAAGTAACAGTATGCCAGCTACAGCTGGTTTCCCTAACCTGGGGAAGGGACAACACCCTGAAGCAAAGGAGGAAGGTTATACCAGCACTCACAGTGTTCGTGAATGGCCATTACTCTTTCAAGCCTCTATCCTTCCAACTATGCTTGAATTCTCTCAGCTGCAGAAAAGACAGAAATTAGGTTCTCAATATATGTTATCTGCATTAAAGAAAGGAGGCCCCAGTGCTACTGTCCTTTCCACTGTACTTCAGAGCTACAGTCAAGAAAATTTTGGGGGTAAAATGCTGTTTACAGATAGTACTCCTCAGATGTGATGTTCTTTGAGCTGTATACAGGCAAAACTGTGCTTGCTCATTTCTCATCAGGACTTGAATGCAACAAGACATTTCTTTCCAGCTACATCCCACTCCCTTCTTCCCTGTGGAGAGTTTCCTCGATCCTTAAGGAACTGCTATGCAAGTGCATTAAAAGTCCTATTTCAGCATTTCCTTCATAGTAGAGGCCTCTTCCAGCCAGCTCTTGGGATCCTGCCAAGAGACATATCAGCCACTAGTACTTAAATCCTTCCGCTAAAAAATGCTTCCCTAAAGAGCTTATACCCCAGTTCTGGATGCCTAAGAGTGCTGATCACCACAATTAACCAGCCTCAACAAGAGCTTAAGAGAGGTCCTTCTCCACTCTCATGTACTTAATGGTGCACTACAGAGCCTTTTCTCCCCTTGGTCTGGCCTCCACTTAGCGGGGAGCAGCTTCAGCACAGTTCCAGTCAGGAAACAAATGTCAGGTGCTACAAAAGGAAGGGAGAACCAGCTGCTTTGAATGATGCATTTGGGGGATCCAAAAGAGCGTGACACTTATTGGGCACTTCTGAAACATCCAGCACCTCTCCGTGTAGGGCTCTGTTGCATGAAGATTTCATTGCCAAATTTCTTAAACTCTGGGCAAGGACTGCACTTGCCTCTCTGCCCCCAGAGCACCCAGCAAAACACAGATTTTAATGCCTGTCCATAGTAATTAGTTATTATGGCTGATATTAAGAACAATTCAGTGGAAAAGCTCCTCCTGAACTAAGATCACATCTGAAAAATACAGTTTACACGGTCTTTATTTATTGTCTCCTGATCAAAATTAATATTTTTAACATGCAAATACCCCAGGCATGGGAGAAAGACAAGCCTATTTTAAGTGCTTGACAAAGATATAAATGCCCTTCTTGTTTTGGAGAACAGAAAGCAGACAGAGGTTGTCTCTGCAGACAAAATGTCCTAAAAGATGTCTGAAGGCAGTGAGCTGGGGACACTACTAAAAGCAGCACTTTGGAACACTTCACACACAGTTGTGGTCTACAACGAACACTGTACTTTGGGTCTGAGCTGCTGAATAGGGAGTAACTTCTTGCATGGACTGTCAGGACATGGACATGCCAAAGGCCAACCCAGGCTTCAGTACAGATCACCGACAGGCAGAGAGTGGTCCCAGCAGAGCCATAAATCTTTAGCCTGCTTTTTACATCCCTGGTCACTCCAGTGCCCTTTGTTTTCACTGCTTTCTCTTCTGTTTCTCAAACAGGCGCCGTATTACCCTGGGAAATCCCATGGCTTTCCTCTCTTTTCCATACTTAGCATGAACTTAATGGTGAACATGAACATACTTAGCATTTTCAGTTGTTTACAAGTCTGACCCAACATGGTAGCTATCGATTTTCACATGCTGAAATACCATCTGGATTATTTAAAAAAACTCCAAACAACAACCAAACAACCCCCTGCTTCCCAACCCAAACAACCACCAAACCCCACAAACACTACCCCAGTGACAACATTTCAGAATACAACACAAGGAGCTTCCCTCTGGCAGGATGCAATAACAACTCCCTTTTTGGTGGTTCAGAAAATGGAGCCAGTACTTTACTGGACTTCACTACCACACGCCAAGAATGAGTGGTCAGTAAGGTGGCAGCCAACATACAAACCAGCTTTTTAATCCACCACCAACACTAGCAGCTCCCTTCCTGGTAGCAAATGAAAGCCCCATGGAAGTCCCTTTGGCCACCTCTTTATCCTTTCAGCTGAGCTCCAGGCTGGAGATGTTCCTTTCCAAAAGCAACAACCCTGTTTAAATGGCAAGAGCAAAGGTGTCTGGGAACACCTTAGGGTCAGGAACAACTCCCATACAATTTGCTGACCTGTTTAGGAAATGAACTCTGCTCCTGCAAAAAGCTAAGTGCCCACGCTTAGCACTTACTACCTCCTAGCACTTACTACCTCCTGCAAGGCTCCAAGCAGTCAGAAAGCCACAATCCCTCCATGACCATCCCTTGTCCAGCACCAAGCATCAAGAGCCTTGATGCTTCTCGGACACTTGTAAAGTCAAAACCTCTGAAAGCATCCCAAATACACCTGGCATGGTTTACCTTCCAGTGTGCATTTGACACCCTGGGACCACAGCAGCAGCCAGCTGTAGCTTCTTCCCTGTTCTCTTCCCAAACACCATTCCCCCTCCACCAACTCCATCATCATCCCTGGCTACCACAGCGGGAAAGCAAGCTGGAATTTTTCTCCCCGGGACAGGTGAATATTCTCACGGGTCCCCAGCGGGACTCAGAAATGTCACCCTGATAAGCTACAGACTGCACCCAAGGGCAGATGTTTCCTCCAGCCGAAGGTAAAGTAAGAGAAAAGCAAGCTATCAAGTGCAGAGAGAAAGAAATGGAGGGCTACCATCCGGGAGGGATTCAGGGGTTTGCCTAAACCGAAGAGAACTCTGGCTGTTTCCTCCAGTAGGGCCCGGGCTTCCCCCAAAGAATGTGCTTTGCGTTTCCTCGTCTGTTCTGTGCCGGAGACCGAGGCAGGGCTGAGTTTGCTAAGGGGCCCTGTGCTGCAGGGCTGCCGCTGCTCCTCCGCCCCATCGCTCCCGACCCGCCCGGGACCACTTTCCCGCAGCTCCTCACGTCCTCTCGGCCTGTTTTCCACCGGCCGAGACCCGCTCCCGCAGCCAGCCCGGCACTCCCGCACCCGGCGGGATTGGAGGGAGAGGCAGCCTCCCCGTCCCGGCGGGAACGCGGCTGTGCCGGGAGCGCGGGGGCGTTCGGCTCACGGACCCCGCTTTCCCTCTCTGCCGTCGAACGCGGTACGGGGGGGGGGAACAAAAGCCAATCGAGGGGTGGGAGGGAAGACCGAATTAAGAGGCTTTTCTGGAGCCGCACCGACCTCCGCCGCCCCGGCACCTCTGCTCTCCCCCCGTCCCGCCCGCCGGTTCCTCCGCGCCCCCCTTACCTTCCTCGGCGGAGCGGGGGGGCCGTGTCTCGGCATGACGGCGGCGGTCCCGGCGCCGGGCTGGCGGCGTGCGGACCCGCGGCTGGGGGCTGCCAGCCCGCCCCCCACCGCCACCGGCCCCGGCCCCGGCCCCGGCCCTGGCCGCCCTCCGGCGGGAGCACCGCCCCATCCCACCCCGTCCCGCCCCGCACCGCCGCCAGGGCAACCGCGCCCGCCCCCCGCCCCGGGCAGGGGCGCGTCCCGTGCTCCTCACTCGGGAAGGGGAATGCCCGGGGGTAACGGGGAGCGCCCAGGGGCAAGGGAGGATGCCTGAGGGTGAAGGGGGGATGCCCGGGGGTGAGGGGCTGCTCGGAGGAAGGTGAGGGGGCTGCCGGTGTCGAGGCCAGAAATCCCGAGAGGAGGCGCCCCAGCCGCCTTTCTGGTTGCAAACAGAAGTACCCGAGGGAACGTAGAAAGTCCTTACTCGCTACCAACTCAGCACCTGTCACTGCCACGGCTTCCCGTGGCTGATCGGGTCACGGACTCATCGCGGGAGAGCGGCTGACCAGGGATGCCCCGAGCCTGCAACACTATCAGCTGATCTGAGGTTGGATATTAGGGAAAGGTTCTTCACCCACAGGGTGGTCAGGCACTGGAACAGGCTCCCCAGGGAGGTGGTCACAGCACCGAGCCTGACAGAGCTCAAGAAGCGTTTGGACACACGGTGTGACTCTTGGGGCTGTCCTGTGCAGGGGGGCCAGGGCTTGAACTTGCTGATCCCTGTGTGCCCCTTTCCAGCTCAGGATATTCTATGGCTCTACGATTCAAAAGGGATGGAGCTGTGAAGGACCCCAGCCCAAGCGCGGCCCCTTTCCCTCCTGTCCCGCTCCGGTATATCCTGATCCCGAGGGGACGTTCCCACCGCGGAGGCGACAGCCCGGGCACCCGCCTCAGTCACCGCGCGCGAGCCCCCGCCGGGCCCTCGCTCCTGTCCCTTTAAGGGGCGGGGCGCGGCCGCGCTGCCGCGCGCTGATTGGCCGCACGCGCGCCCTCTCCGCCCCCCGGCAGCCGGTGCGGGCCGCGGGAGCGCGCGCGGTAGTGGCGGGAACGCGCGCGGTGGTGGCGGCAGAGCGCGCGATGGTGGCGGGCGGCGCCGCGCGGCTGCTGCCGATCCCGATCCCGATCCCGATCCCGCTCCCGCTCCTCCCGCGCGCCGCCGGGGCCAGGATCAGGGCGGCGCTGCCCGGCCGGGCGGCCGCGGGGC